AATATTGTACCTTATTGTTTAGCAGACTAAAGGAATTCATAAACTACCATTGACACTTAAAATAGATTAAACTGTTAAAATGTCGTAACCGTTATCAGTGATCAGTATCGTGTGTTCAAATTGAGCTCCTCTAGAATTGTCGGCTGTTACTATGGACCATCCATCTTCTAACATCTCAACATCGCTACTCCCTTGGCAAACTACTGGCTCGACAGTAAACACCATACCAGGTTTCATTATTCCGGGATAATTGTGTAAAGTAGAATGGAAAATCACTGGAGGCCCGTGGAAATATGTACCTATGCCGTGGCCGGTTATGCTTGACACAACATAGTGACCGTGTTGGAGAGCATATAGTTCTATAGCTCTTCCAATGTCTGAAAAGCTTTTGCCCGGGCCACAAGCTTCTATTCCTTTGTACATGCTTTGTTCTGCTACACTAATCAGTTTTTTACCGTAGKYGTCTACTTCGCCTACGCAATAGGTCGCGGCGCAGTCACCGTGAAAACCATTCATATAGACGGACACGTCTACGGATATGAGATCTCCGTTAAGCAGTGGCCGATCGTCGGGCACTCCGTGGCACACGACGTTGTTTATTGACGTGCAGACGGACTTCTTGAACCCCYTGTAGTTCAACGGCGACGGATATGCGTTGTTGTCGATGACCAGATCGTGGACGAAACTATCGACGTCGTCGGTAGTAGCACCGACTTTCAACCGTGTCTGTGCGCTGTCCAGCACGAACTTGGCGAACTTGCAACTCTGCCGGAGCATCTCGATCTGACCCTTGTTTTGGATTTCCGGTGGACAATCGTGGTTGGGTTCATCGACGACAATGCCGGTTTTCGCGTACGAAGGTAACGTGACRTAYTCTGGCACCGTTCTGGGATCGCTGACAGTTCCTGGGTGATCCACTACGTCGTAGACACCGAAATTAGTCTGGAATTTTGTCCACARAGATTTCGACAGCCTCCGAGGTGTTGTTCCGTTGACGAACCACCGCCCGCAGACGGTCACGTTTTTACAGATATTCATGGTGGCCACAGAAACGCTCGCACGCTGACTGAAGGACGATGGCACGCGAACAGTTGAACGGACCGTAAATTATGACTCGTAATTACTGACGAACCACTCGCAAAAAAAACGCGAAACTCATTTGAAAAATACCCAACGAAGTTCAACGGTGAACATTCCATTCTGTATAATTTCCAAATATTATCTTGACACTTCTTGTAGGTAATCAGTATTTGTATTGTTCATTATATCCATAGATAATATAATATTATCTATGATTATATCAGGTTACGATGATAGGCGATAACAGTGCGAAATAGGTGATAATGATAGTGCCCGAAAAAAAAAATAACGGCCATAAATAATAGAATGACTGTCAGCAGCAGCTGTAGATATATATTACTTTTTTACTTATGAAAYTTAAAATTTTTATTAGAGTGAAATAATTCAGCTGACATCAAGTTGCGTCGTTGAAGTTTATTTGGCAGCATAAAAGTGTGTAATCGGCTGTGGTTCAGACGGACCGGGTTCGATACACGACCATCGGGCGGCATTTTTCTCAGGGCAAGTCACTGTGTCCGGAGAACAAG